GACGGACGGATGGACGGACGGACGGACGGGCGGGTGGGTCGGACGGACGGACGGATGGACGGGTGGGTGGGTCGGTCGATGGATGGACGGACGGACGGATGGACGGACGGACGGACGGACAGACGGACGGGTGGGTGGGTCGGTCGATGGATGGACGGACGGACGGACGAGTGGGTGGGTCGGTCGATGGACGGACGGACGGACGGACGGACGGACGGACGGACGGACAGACGGACGGGTGGGTGGGTCGGTCGATGGATGGACGGACGGACGGACGAGTGGGTGGGTCGGTCGACGGACGGACGGACGGACGGACGGACGGACGGACGGACGGACAGACAGACAGACAGATACTGCCACATGCATCTGTGAAAAAATGTAAGGAGTAGAAAGTACAAATAATTGTGTGAAAATGTAAGAAGTAGAAGGCAAAAGTAGGCTGAAAAATAATGACTCAAGTAAAGTACAAGTACCCAAAAATTCTACTTAAGTACAGTAAAGAAGTGTTTGTACTTAGTTACTTTACAACCCTGTAAAAAACACAGTTGTATCAGTGTGTGGACTTGTGTGAAAGAACAATGTAAAGTCTCTTTGAGTGTCCTAAAAAGTGCTATATGAAGCTAATGCACTATTATTGTTAGAGACAGATAAAAATGTATTTGACATTGAATGTAACATTATCTCATCAATAAAAAAAATAAAGAAAAAAACCAAACATCTATTTTATGTAAGGTTTTTTATTTATTTTTATTTTTATTTTTTATTTTTCAAATTATAACCAGAGCGTGGCATTCCCAGCTGCATTTGATTATTTGATTTTGGCTTTCAAAACATTTATTTGATTGACAGTCTACACCAGCACATTACCTTGTATCATTTATTTGGTCATTTTCTGTGGACAGCTGCTGAAAGTGTGTTTCACTCATTTCCCTCAGGTTATTTCCTCAATCCAGGCCGTGGATAAGATAATGGGCCAGCTCATGAATGGGCTGAAGCAGATTGACCTGCATCGCTGTCTGAACATCATTTTTGTTGCTGATCATGGTAACACTGATCATATTGTGCAATATTATGGCTTTCACATGGCCTCTGTTGGAGGCCTTTTCTGTTTCAGGACCTCAAACTCAAACAGTTTTAGTATATTAGATTAAGTTTTCTGCATCTTGACATGGTGCTTTTGATCTTCAAAACTGTTACAAAATATTTAAAAACTCCCAGAGGAGTTGCAGTCTGAGAATTTTGTGTTCCTAGAAAGTGTACAGAGTGTTTCTGGCTCATAGCTGAACCTCCATCTTTCCTTCTTCCTGGATGCTTTGCAGGTATGGAAGAAACCAGCTGTGACAGGAAGGAGGCGTTGCGGGACCTGGTGGGAGATACCAGCAATTATGTGGTCAATCAGGGGCCTTTCGGTCGCGTGAGAGCCAAAAATAAAAACACCACCTGTGAGTGAATATGCTCAGTGTTTTTGCTTTTGCACTGTTTAAGCTTTAACACTTCATTGACGCCAAACTTTTTTTCTTAAATAGTGGACTCAGAACAACTTGTTGCCAACATGTCTGTAAGCATTTAAAGTTTCTATGTTACATCATCACCAAATAAAATAAAATACCCCCCACCCCATTTGAAATTATGAAAATTAAATGGAAAATCTGTATCTGTTTTTGTGTTTATTTAAGTGCAAGAAGCCAAACCAAAAGATCAAGCCGTACCTCAAAGCCAACCTGCCGAAACGCCTTCACTTTGCCAACAGTCGTCGCATCGAAGACGTCAAYGTTCTGGTTGAAACTAAATGGCTGTTTGAGAGGTATCTTCTAAATCTTCTAAATCTTGATGTGTTTCTTATAGACTTTATGTTGGAGTTTGTTTAGTTTAATTTGTTGGACAACAGCAACCTCTAACAATATTGTGGCAGTTCCCTTTATTAAAAACTTATGTTGCCTGATTTAATTATTTTTTTCAATGTTTTTGAATTTGAGAAATGAAGAAAATTAGAAAACTGCAGTGATTTGCCATGTGAAAAGAATGCCTGTTATGTCACCCATTCTCTAGTTTTGATGTCATGTTCTGTAAAAACTATTAGTCATTTCCAAAGAAGTAAAGTTACAATTTTCAACAGGAATAATAATGACTGATATTTATTTTGTTACATTTTTAAACAAAAATCATGAACTAAAAGCTTCTTATTTCCCACAGAGATCCAGGATCTCTGACGTTCTGTTCTGGTGGGGATCATGGCTACGACAACGATGTTGAGAGCATGCAYGTGAGTGACAGCATGTCCCGAACTACTCTCCTTTCTTGTCAGATCAAAAAAGAAAGCGCATTGTTTTCCTTGTCTTTTGTCTTTGCAGGCCATGTTTCTCAGTTATGGCCCCAAGTTTCAGCAAAAAACAACAATTGAACCCTTCTCTAACATTGAGCTGTATAATGTCATGTGTGGTGAGTATTTCATTTATTTTTTCTTTTCTTTTTTCTTAAGATAAAATCATCATTTGGATTTGGGCTTGAAACAAGCCAGAGTGATTAACTAGAGTCCAAAAAAATCTTCAAATATAGTCATAACATCAACCGGGCTGGCCCGTGGCACAGGCAGTACAGGCAAATACTAAGGGCTCCATCCATCTAGGGGGCACCACAAATGGGGRATGAAAAAGATATATCTTTTTATCAGAGTATAGTTAATGAGGCTGTAGAATAATCATTGTTTACTTTGTAATAGAAATAATACTTTATGTTTAAGCAAGTAATTCATGACATCCTTTAATGACCTTGGTTTTCCTGACATGCTGTTCATCTGCAGACAGAATGATTAAAGTCAGAACAAGATCTGCTAACAACGATCATATATCTAATCATCATATCTAATCATTCTTAGATATCACTTGTGTTTATCTTTGGGTTTTCCATTGACCTTGTATCAAATCTTGCTAGGATGACAGAATGG